TACTAAAGGATGAAAAGGCTAACCACATTGTTAAAGAGGAAATACAAAAGTACATGGAAGCTGGTGAAAATGGTAACACCACAGCCTGAAACCTCTGGGACACAGCAAAGGTTGTCATAAGAGGAAGGTATATAGCAACCCAGGCCTTCCTAAAGAAGGAAGAAAGGTCTCAGATACACAACCTAACTTTAAACCTTAAACAGCTGGAAAAACAACAGCAAATAAAACCAGAAACCAGCAGAAGATGGGAAATAATAAAGATTGGAGCAGAAATCAGTGCTATTCAAACAAAACAAAACAAAACAAAACAGTAGAACAGATCAATGAAACCAGAAGCTGGTTCTTTGGAAGAATTAACAAAATTGACAAATCTCTAGCCAGTTTGATCAAGAAAAAGGAAAGGACCCAAATAAATAATATCAAGAAAGAAAGAGGAGCAATCACAACCAACACTGCAGAAATATAAACAATAATAAGAGAATATCATGAGCAATTATATGCCAGTAAATCTGGAAGAAATGGAAAAATTCCTAGAAACATTTAAACTACCAAAACTGAAACAAGAAGAAATAGAAAATTTGAACAGACCCACACCAATAAAGAAATCGAATTAGTAATCAAAAATCTCCCAAAAAACAAGTCCAGGGCTGGATGGCTTTCCAGAAATATTCGACCAAACATTCAAAGAAGAGTTAGCACCTATTCTTTTGAAGCTGTTCCAAAAAAATATAAATGGAAAACTTCCAAACTCTTTCTATGAAGCCAGCATTACCTTGACTCCAAAACCAGACAAAGACCCCACTAAAAGGGAGAACTACACACCAATTTCCCTGATGAACATGGATGCAAAAATCCTCAACAATATATTAGCCAACCGGATTCAACAATACATTAAAAAAATTATTCACCACGATCAAGTGGGATTTATACCTGGGATGCAGATCTGGTTCAATATCTGCAAAACAAACAATGTGATTCATCACATCAATAAAAGAAAGAACAAGAACCACATGATCCTCTGAATAGATGCAGAGAAAGCATTTGACAAAATACAGCATCGTTTCTTGATAAAAAAAAAAACCCCAAGAAAGTAGGGATAGGAGGATCGTAACTCAAGATCATTAAAGCCATATATGAAAGACCCACCCCATATCATCCTCAATGGGGAAAAACTGAGAGCTTTCCCCCTTAAGGTCAGGAACAAGACAAGGATGTCCACTCTTGCCACTGTTAGTCAACATAGTATTGGAAGTCCTAGCCTTAGTAATCAGACAACATAAAGAAATAAAAGGTATCCAAAATCAGCAAGGAGGAAGTCAAACTTTTACTCTTCACAGATGATGATACTCTATATGGAAAACCCCAAAGATTCCACCAAAACATTGCTAGAACTTATCCATAAATTCAGCAAAGTGACAGGATATAAAAATCAATGCACAGAAGTCAGTTGCATTCCTACACACCAACAATGAAGCAACAGAAAGAGAAATCAAGGAATTGATCACATTCACAATTGCACCAAAACCCATAAAATACCTAGGAATAAATCTAACCAAAGAGGTGAAAAATCTATACACTGAAAACTATAGAGAGCTTATGAAAGAAATTGAAGGAAACACACAAAAAGGGAAAAATGTTCCATGTTCCTGGCTTGGAAGAACAAATACTGTTAAAATGTCAATACTACCCAAAGCAATCTACATATTCAATGCAATACCTATCAAAACAACACCATCATTCTTCACAGAGCTAGAACAAACAATCCTAAAATTTGTATGGAACCAGAAAAGACCCCGAATAGCCAAAGCACTCTTGAAAAAGAAAACCAAAGCAGGAGGCATCAAATCCCAGACTTCAAGCTGTATTACAAAGCTGTAATCATCAAGACAGTATGGTACTGGCACAAAAACAGACACTCAGATCAATGGAACAGAATAGAGAACCCAGAAATGGACTCACAAACATATGGCCAGCTAAGCTAATCTTTGACAAAGCAGGAAAGAATATCCAATGGAATAAAGACAGTCTCTTCAGCAAGTGGTGCTGGGAAAACTGGACAGCGGCATGCAGAAAAATGAACTTGGACCACTTTCTTGCACCATACACAAAAATAAACTCAAAATGGATGAAAGACCTAAATGTAAGATGGGAAGCCATCAAAATCCTCGAGGATAAAGCAGGCAAAAACCTCTTTGACCCTGGCCACAGCAACTTCTTACTCAACACATCTCCAGAGGCAAGGGAAACAAAAGCACAAATGAACTATTGGGACCTCATCAAAATAAAAAGCTTCTGTGCAGTGAAGGAAACAATCAGCAAAACTAAAAGGCAACCAATGGAATAGGAGAAGATATTTGTAGATGACATATCAGATAAAGGGTTGGTATCCAAAATCTATAAAGAACTTATCAAACTCAACACTCAAAAAACAAATAATCCAGTGAAGAAATGGGCAAAAGACACGAGTAGACACTTCTCCAAAGAAGACATCCAGATGTCTAACAGACACATGAAAAACTGCTCAACATCACTCATCATATCGGTGTGCTGTTCCGAAGGGGCACATGCACCCCCATGTTTATAGCAGTGCTATTGACAATAGCCAAAGTATGGAAAGAGCCCAAATGTCCATCCACAGATGAATGGTAAAGATGTGGTATATATGTATATATATGTAATGGAATATTTCTCGGCAATCAAAAAGAATGAAATCTTGCCATTTGCAACAATGTGGATGGAACTAGAGGGTATTATGCTAAGCGAATAAGTCAGTTAGAGAAAGACAAATATTATATGACTTCATTCATATGTGGAATTTAAGATACAAAACAGATGAACATAAGGGAAGGGAAGCAAAAATAACATAAAAACAAGGAAGGGGACAAAACATAAGAGACTCAAATATAGAGAACAAACTGAGGGTTGCCAGAGGGCCTGTGGGAGGGGAATGGGCTAAATGGGTAAGGGGCATTAAGGAATCTACTCCTGAAATCATTATTGCACTATATGCTAACTAACTTGGAGGTAAATTAAAAATAGATAAATACATTTTAGAAAAGGAAATAAAAAAAAAATAGATGCATTTCCACATGCATACTTTGTACCCACGGGAGCCAGGCCTTTTGTCTTTAAGAAAATGAAGACTAACAAGCTAAATTACTTGTGCTTCGTAATATTTTTAAAGTTGCTTAATTATCTGCGTTGGATAGTTTACTTTCACAACTCTCTGTCCCTGTCCTTATACACTGTATGTTAGTCCCCCACCCCTCCTCCTCCTCTGTCCCTTTGAGCACTGCTCTCCTGGATTCAGTCCCCTTGTGAAGGGAGGCTCCTGCTGGACCCACTTCTTATCTCCCAGTCTCCTCTCTCTAGGGCAATGCCCCACCTCTGAGGAGGAGCCGTTGCAGCTATTTGCTAAGTCCTTCATTCATTCACTCATTCATTCATTATTACTCAGCTGTTTACTCCAATCTCCCCATTGTAGCGCCTCGGCAGAACCACACGTCCCAGACTAGAGCCGTATAAATAGGCAAGAAGACCAGGCCCGCGGCAGAAATTCAAGAACTACAGTGTGTAGGCAGTTCTTGGGAAGGTGCACACTAGAAAATTACTCAGTAGAGAAAGACATCTGGGATCAAGCCAAGGGGCCAGGAGAAGCACCCCATTGGTCCTTGGTTGGGCTAAAGCTCTCCTTTCTATTCCTCCTAACCCACATCATAGCAGCCCCCATTTATTGAACACTTACTATGTGCTGGGTACTGCCCTAAGCAGTTTATATACATTGTCTCAGTTAATTCCCACAACAAACCTTCAAGTGTCCATATTATTAACCCCATTTTAAGGTGGGTAAATGGAAGTTGAGAGGTTCAGTTTCCACAGCTAGAAAGTGGTGGAGCTGGGATTTGAACTCCAGCCGCTGGCACCAGAGCCACCATGTTACGTTGTTGCACGGAATTGAGCTGAATGGTGCAGGAGCAGGAGACATGTGGTCCTACAGAAACGTACCAGGAAGGTGCCCAACTCTACCTGGTGGGGAGTGGGGGGGCCCACATCCCTTAATGAGACTTTATAATGAGGTGCCTCCTGAGTGGTCCTGAAGGCTGAGGAGAACTCCCCAAGGAGTACAGGCTAGGGATCAGCAGGCAGGCTGCAGGAGCAGTAAACTAAGGATACAGGGTGTGCAAGACCTTGGTGCCTTTGAGGAACAGTGTCTCCAGCTTCACATCAGGCGCGAAATATACAGATGGACTAAGAGCCAAGTGTTAAAAAGACACAACAACTTGGGGGGAAATCTAAAAGGAAAGCTAGTCATTTTGCAACTCTGGACAGTGAAGGTGTTTTCCTAAGCAAGGCACAAACCCCAGAAACTGTGAGGGAAAAGGCTGGCACATTTGACTACTTAAAAGCTAAAACTTTCTAAGTGACAAAAGACACGAGCAAGTTCAAAGACAAACGTGGCCGGAAGTTCTTCAAATTCTCTGTTCGAAACCCTGCTTTTCTTCCTCAGTAACAGAAGCCCCAGCACATGTTGGGTGACAATGTGCTGACGATTACATTTCCTGGGCTCCTCGCAGCTCCCAGTCCCCTTCCAATCAAATGAGGTGTGTGTTACTAGCATTCCCATTTTACAGATAAGGGAGTGGAACCCTGTGATGTTACGTGCCCAAGATCGCCCTAGTAAAAACTGGTACAGCAAACTCAGGCAGTCACCGGCAACTTTGGTCAACACTTACACGGCAGTTGCTATGTGTTAGGCACCTTACAAATACAACCTCCTCTAATCCTCATAGCAAACTTATGAGGTGATGTCTGTAATATCTCCATTCTACAGTGAGGGAACAGAGTCAGGAAAGAGTTTAGTCACTTACCCAAGGTCACACAGCTAGGAAGTGGTAGCCAGAGTGGAAACCCAGCCAGTCTGGCTTCATATACTGCTCTTTTAGCCACCACCTCTGTTGCCTTTGGGCTCCTGAAGTAAACTTGGTAAGAGCCACACTTACCAAGGGCTCTGAGTCCCATCCGATCTCTTGGCTTTCAGTCTGTGTCTCTGGGTATTTCTTCCTTGGCCCCAGGGCAGCATGGTGAAGAAGATTTAGAAACCTGGCTGGGAGATGAGGCATGAGTTATGAAGGAGGCAGGCTTTGGGTCCGAGAGCTCCCATGCTCTTTACCCTGGCCACATCCTTCCTTGGAGACACGGCACATGGCCTCAGGGGCCTGCCAAGGCCTTGCAAAACTCATCTTTCAGCAAGTATTTGTTGAGCACAAACTCTGTGCCAGGCACTGTTCTGGACCCCGGAGGTAGAGCAGTGTGACAGTTATGGTTCACGCTCTCCCGGAGCTTGTGGTCTAGGTGGGGGGATAGGGGACCCAATACACAAGGGGACAAATAAACCGGATGGTTATAGTGATGCTAGCTGTGTAGAAGGGGGGAGGCGAAGGGGCACGCAGAGGCAAGGGGGGCTACTTTAGACAGGACGGTGAGGGGAGGTCTCTCTAGATGCCAAGCAGGAGCCGGCCCTGAGGGAGAGGCAGAGGAAAACCACACTACAGGCAGCAAGAACAAAGGCACTGGGGCACGAGCAAGCTGGGCCAATGTGGCCGTGGTGGAGAGAGGAGGCGGCTTGTAAGAAGGTCAGATCCTTCGCACGGTGATATATATGGCCACCACCCCCACACGTATTTGTAACTCCACAGCTTGAGCACTTTAAAAGTTTCATTTTTCCATTTCTACCCTACTAAGTCTCAATTTGAGAGAGGCGGTTTGACCGTGGGAAGAACCTGGGCTTCATAGTCAGGCATTCCTGGCCCTTCCACTACTGGCCTGACAGGTGATTTAACTTCTCCAGGCCTCACTTTGCTCATCTGTAAGATGGAAGGCAAATATCTACCCCAGCAAGATGACTGAGGATGGATGAAGGAATGTTAATTAAGGGCTGGCATCGGGCTGAGCTTATCCTTAATATAAGCAGTTAGCGATCAACTGCTGCTTAGCTCTCAGGCCCCTCACCACCTGCTCTTTTCCTTATTTCTGCAAGCCCCCAGCTCCTCTCCTTTCCTCTAGCTGGGCTACAGATAGCACGCTTAATTCCTCTGCTGCTGCTCTATTAGTCTCTTGTCTGTCTCACTATGATACGAGATCCTCCCTCCTCCTACCCACCCCCACCTTCCTACCCTGACCTCCTACATAAACCTTGCGTCTTTCCTCCATCAAATTCTACTCTAAGAAGATAGAGGGGAGGAGGAGAGCTTGCCAGGAAGGATTAGGCTTTCCATCAAATTCTCTTCCATCCTTCCTGAGTGTGGCCCCGCCCACTTGTATATTGCAGCCATGCCAAACTACCCGCAGGTCTTGGGGCCGTGCTGGTGTCTCTCATTTCTGTGCCTTTCCATATAACTCAGAATGTCCTTTCAGTCTCCTTTACCTGACCTACTCCACCTCACCATGTTACCACCTCCTCCAAGAAGACTTCCTAGAACTCCACTGTTGGACTAGGGCACCTGTTTTCTATGTTGTTGCCACCTCAATTTTACTCTCAATTTCCTCATCTGTCTCCTTCACTATGGTATGAGGTCTCTACCCCGCAGATACTGTTCTAAGTACTTGCATTACTTTGTTATACTCACAACAACCCTGAGAGATAGGTTCTGAGAAGTTAACAAATCTGCCCAAAGTCACAGCTAATGAGGGGCAGAATCAGGATTTGAACTCAGTATGACTTCAGAACCTCTGCTTGTAACAGCAAAGATGTTTGGTGAGTGGATGAATGGATACAGTGTCAAAGCCATTAGGAGCATTTTTCTTGGCTTGGCAGTTAATGAACCTGCTGTATGGTTGAGTATGCCAATCTCCAATGAGCTTCATGAGCGTGAGCCCAATTTTCAGATGATCAAAGTGTTGCCCTAAGGTACCGCTATCCCAAGAAGCCTCCCTAGCCAGCTGCATATCTGTGCTCTATCTCAATGGTGTTCATAAGCCCTGGAACTTACCATCTTCAGGTTCCTCCAGGTTATCATGCCAAGACATGGGCTTTCTGGTGATTGTGTGAACTAGAGAAAAACAGCATCACAAGCTCATGTTAAAACATTCACACCCTGCCGTCTCAACGACCCACCCTAGGCCAGACACCTGCTGAGCATTTTCTGAGTGTTTGCTGCATGTCAGGTATTGTGCTGGGCACCAGGGAATAAGGCCCGCAAAGACCTCACAATCCAGAGAGGCACTGTCCAGCGTAGTGGCCGCCAGTCACATGTAGCTACTTGAATTTGAATATTTGAAATTAAATACCAATTAGAAATCCATTCCATGGGCACACTAGCCACATTTCAAGGGCTCAGTAGCCACAGGGGGCTAATGGCTACCATTTTGGGCAGCATAGATATAGAACATTTTCATCATTACAGAAGGTTCTCTCAAAAAGCGGTGGTCTACAGGGATGTAGACATACCAGGCAGCCAAACAAGGTTGGACATGCACTGATACATCAGAAGACTATGTGAAAACAGAGGTGCAGAATCCACAGACATCCGTTCAACCCATAATTACTGTGCACTGGAGACAGGGCTATAAACAGAGAAAGTTCCTGTGCTGATCTTCTATTTGTGGTGACAGACAGTAAACAAATAAATATTTGGGCCAAAATAAGTGAGATATAATAAGTAAAGTATTTTACACGGGTAGAGAGTTGATGGTGGGATGGGGAGTGAGGGTGTCTCGTCTCTAAGGAGACATATTAGAGCAAAATTTCAAACAAAGAGAGGGAATGTGCTGTGTGAGGACATGTGGGAAGAATGACATGTGAGGACATGTGTGAGTTAGGTGGAGGGCAGTAGGAAATGAGCAGAGGCCAGAAGGAATCAGTAGTCTCCCAAGTGATTTTTTATCTCAGACTCCTACCAGTAAAACCTTCCGAGCATGCGCCTAATACATGTATATTTATATAGTCTCTATATACTATAAGCAGTATAATTTTTCTTTACGCCTAAAAGTAAACATAAATACAAGTTCTAGCACAAATACAAGTTCTAATATTTCCTGACTTTGTCCCAATGGATCATATGAATCACGTGCCCAAGGGACAAGAGCCAGGAGATCTAGAAAGCCTGAGTGTTGCCTGAAGGGATTATTTAAATTGTGGGAATGGAACAAGTTTAAACAGAATTGGACAGTTAATTTGCATTCCTGAAATTAGTGGTTGGGAGCTCCAGAGGAAAACTAGATTAGTTATGAGCAAAATGAAGACATTACATTTTCTGTACTCTCACCACACACACACACACACACACACACACACACACA